AAAAAAAAAAAAAAAAAAAAGGAACTAACACTAATCAAGGTGGAGGCCCTGAGAACCTGAGAATATGGCATACCAGCAGTGGCTGAGGACACGAGTATGGCCCAGAAGTCAATGCAGCTTTCGCCTGGTGTGTATGTGGAAGAGGCATGGGTGTGGGAGAGCTAAATAACCTGGTACTTGAAAATATGACTTTCTAGATGGAGAGAACTCACTGAGTACTTTAAGCTACTCAGGAATATAAAAGTTGGTGGTGAGTATATGTTGCTCATTAAGTCAACAGTGGTCATCTATCAAGCAATAATATATATTACTTTTAATATATAAAGTACACCTCCCAAGAAAATCAATAGTAACAAGTAATATGTCTGCTTATGAATAAAGTGAATATGCATTTTGAATATTATAAAACAATATATGTTCAAACACACTATCTTACCACGGAATAATGCATTTGTTGCCATAGTATTTTTCAGCCACCTGTTGTAGCTTCAGGATACGCTCTGCTTGAATCTGGAAAAGTGTCTTATGGGATGGCAAACCAACATCATACATCCCCTTAGGGTATGCAACGCCGAGTCTTGTCCCCTGCCCACCAGCTAGAAGAAGAACTGCTACTTTATTCTGAGAAATCTGGAAAAGTCCTAGAAAAGAAAACACTTGTATCACAAAACCTCCACAATTCAACACTTTAGTATTAACTATACATAGGCAGCAGCAAAGATTCATCAAAAGGGAAGTAAAGCGATGCAGCTGCCTTGTCCTGAGGTCATTTGCTAATTTGGGGTACAGGCTAGTGGTAGAGAATCTGGCTTGGACCAAAGGCTGCTTGCTGCTTTTATTAACATGGGACTGAAATAACAAGATAGGGACTTATCGACATAAGGCACAGAGAACACAGATCTACATAGAATGGTGGATGACTATCTTGCTAAAAAAAAATTATATTATTAAAACAATTAAATTTATATAACCCAACCAAATACCAAACAACGAACAATGTATTTTAATGAACTAAATATTTCTTGCTGATAATGTTAGTAGGCAAGAACCAAGAGATATTATACATGTCTTGCAAAAATTTGACTAATGATAGATATGGCAAGTCAAGAAAAAGAACAAAAGAAAATATCAAAGTCAGGATGAATGACGACAGAATCAAATTACTTCCAGCCTATAATAGATAATTAATGAGCGTGCAAATATAGCACGTAAGCTATATAAAGAAAAGAAATTTTTAGTTAGGAAAACAGTAAAGTATAATGGTTGAGAACTCAGGCTCTGAAGTTAGCATTTCTGGTTTGAAACCCAACTCAACAGAATGAACTTGGGATATCACCTGCAAAGGGCATCAGAAGTCTTTGTAGCGTGATGAAAATGTGCTATGTTGATTGGGATGGTAGTCACATGGGTATACATTTGTTAAACCATGAAATTGGTTGGGCACAGTGGCTCGCCCCTGTAATCCCAGCACTTTGGGAGGCCGAGGCGGGTGGATCACCTGAGGTCAAGAGTTTGAGACCAGCCTGGCCAACATGGCAAAACCCGTCTCTACTAAAAATACAAAAATTAGCCAGGCATGGTGGTGCACACCTGTAGGCTGAAACAGGAGAATCACTCGAACTCAGGAGGCAGAGGTTGCAGTGAGCTGAGATCACGCCACTGCACTCCAGCCTGGGTAACAATGCGAGATTCAAACAAAAAACAAAAACATATAACTACAAAGCAGGCAGATCACTTGAGGCCAGAAATTCAAGAACAGACCAACCTGGCTAATATAGCAAAACCCCGTCTCTACTAAAAATACAAAAAATTAGCCAGGCATGGTGGCATGTGCCTGTAATCCTAGCTACTCAGGAGTCTGAGGCAGAGAATTGCTTCAACCTAGGAGGCGGAGGTTGCAGTGAGCCAAGAACTTGCCACTGCACACCAGCCTGGGTGACAGTGAGATTATCTCAAAAACAAAACAAAACAAAACAAAAAAACTAGCGCGTTTTACTACATGCAGATGTAAATATATAGTAATACAATTTATTAAAATGAATTTTTTTAGGCCAGGCATGGTGGCTCACGCCTGTAATCCCAGCACTTTGGGAGGCTGAAGTGGGAGGATTACCTGAGGTCAGGAGTTACAGACAAGACTAAGCAACATGGCAAAATCCCATCTCTACTAAAAATACAAAAATTAGCCAGGCATGGTGGCAGGCACCTGTAATCCCAGCTACTCAGGAGGCTGAGGCAGGAGAATCACTTTAACCCAGGAGGTGAAGGATGCAGTGAGTTGAGATCGTCCACTGCACTCTAGCCTAGGTGACAGAGCAGGACTCTATCTCAAAAATACATAAATAAATAAAATGCATTTTTCAAAAACAGGCCATCTATGCCAGCTCAGAAGAATGTAAGACTCAGGGTATTTTCATTACTGATTTATTTCTTTGGTCTGGAAGGCTGTCAATTTTTGCCAGTTGAATATTCAGCAATAAGTAGTCATCAAGCATAATGCTGGAATAAAAATATTATTCCTTCCCAGCATTTTGGGAGGCTAAGGCGGGCAGATCATCTGAGGTCAGGAGTTCAAGACCAGCCTGACCAACATGGAGAACCCATCTCTAAAAAAAAGAAAAATAAATGTTATTCTTTGAACCAAAATAAATTAAAGATGGATTTGAGATCCAAATACAAATAAATGTAACTATAAAAGCTACAAAAGAGCTCTCAGTCTGAATTAAAGGAAAAAAAAAATCTTGCCATAATCCATTCCTAAGACCCATCTTTTCATTCAAAAGTGGACAGTCTCCATACCACAAGGCAGAGAAGCTTGTGAGAAGAGGCTATGTGGAAATTGGGTCTCTGGTAAGCTAGAAAAACTATAAAATTAAAGTCATGGTAAAAGGTTTTGTTCTTGTTTTCCGAGTTTCACACTTTCATTAGAATTCTTAGAAATTTTGTGAACAAACCTGGCCATCAACCACAACTGTTGGCTGAGACAGAGGATGCAGTGGTGGCAACTATCAATTATTATTTTAAAATCCTTGGGTCATGTGGGTTTATTTCATTTACCAACTTTGTGCTTTATTTGTTTTTCATATATTTGGGTTTTTTTGTTGTTGTTGTTGTTGTTTGAGACGAAGTTTTACTCTTGTTGCCCAGGCTGGGGTGCAGTGGCACAATCGTGGCTCACCGCAATCTCCGCCTCCTGGGTTCAAGCGATTCTCCTGCCTCAGCCTCTGGAGCAGCTGGGATTACAGGGGCTTAACACCATACCCAGCTAATTTTTGTATTTTTAGTAAAGATGGGGCTTCATCATGTTGGCCAGACTGGTCTCGAACTCCTGGCCTCATGATCCGCCTGCCTCGGCCTCCCAAAGTGCTGGGATTACAGGCGTGAGCCACTGTGCCCAGCCGATGTACTGGGTTTTCTTTAAACTAATACACTAGTAAGTCAACAACATAAAGAAAAATAAGCCCATTATAAATTTAGAGCCAGTTCTGATTTTTTTTTTTTTTTTTTGAGACAGACTCTCACATTGTCATCCAGGCTGGAGTACAGTGGCACAATCTTGGCTCACTGCAACCTACACTTCCTGGGTTCAAGTGATCCTCCTGCCTCAGCCTCCCATGTAGCTGAGACTACAGGTGCACACCACCACACCTAGCTAGTTTTTGTATTTTTAATAGAGACTGGGGTCTCACCATGTTGCCCAGGCAGGTCTCGAACTCCTGGGCTCAAGTGATCCGCCCACCTCAGCCTCCCAAAGTGCTGGGATTACAGGCGTGACCCACCATGCCCAGCCTATTCCAGCTATTTTTTCAATTTAAAACCTCAAAAGCACATTACATATTTTCATAATTTTCACCTTTGATATGAAGCTGATCTTAGCTACCTGGGAGTTAAATCTTCTTTCTTCCTTCCCTAAAACCAGAATTGTCCTTGTTAACTCCATAGCATTTAACTGTATTTCATCAAAGAATTTGAAAATAAGAACATAAAATCAGGAGTAACCAAAATAGAGCCCAAAACAGTAACTATAATCTAAGAGGCAGGTACTGCGTAATTTTCACCACTTTAGAGATAATATACTCAGAGAAGTTAAGAGTCTCGCCCAGGGTCACAGAGCTAGTAAATATCAATCAGGATTAGAACCTGACTCCAGGACGTCTTCACCACCATACCACCCTGCTACCAGAGGTTGTGTTGCCTTTTGTTTTCAGTCTGTCTTACCCACCATCCTTAACAAAAAAAAACTGTTGAGCAAGAAGAACCAACATTCTCCAAAACTTCCCAAACACTGAAATTTTTAACAGCCATTCTGAGTTTGCATTTGCCTTATGCAAGACCCATAACCACTATACAAAATAACTGAGATGAAGAAATTTAAAGGGAACACTGTTTTATATTTGGTTATTTCCTGAATTATATCAAATAAACTATGGTTTCTAGAAAACATGGCCAGGCGTGGTGGCTCATGCCTGTAATCCCAGCACTTTGGGAGGCCGAGGCAGGTGGATCACAAGGTCAGGAGTTCAAGACGATCCTGGCCAACTTGGTGAAACTCCATCTCTACTAAAAATACAAAAATTAGCCAGGCGTGGTGGCTCACACCTGTACTCAGGAGGCTGAGGCAGGAGAATTGCTTGAACCTAGGAGGGAGAAGTTACAGTGAGCCGCGATTGAGCTACAGTGAGCTACTGCACTCCAGCCTGGGCAACAAGAGCAAAACTGTCTCAAAAATAAATAAATAAATGAAAAGTTTTGCTAGCCAGCAGCTCACAGTGGCCTCACTCTTTATTCAGATAAATGGCACGTGTTTGTTTCCTCAACTCCTGTTCACTCTTCAGTGCTTCTTTCCATCTGTGAACCTGATAACCAGTCTGGTCACCACTTAACCATGGCACTGAGATGATGCCAACCAGATGTACTTTACCAGGTAGATATCCATTTACATCTCATCTCTGTCTAATCACAACTATTATAATGAACTACAACACAATCCACATATATTTGCAATAAAAAGGTTCTGCATTAACTTCTTCCTGTTTACACATCTCACTTATGAGCAAACAGTGAAAAACAAGAGAAAAGGCAGCAGTCCCTGGAGAATCAAGGCCAGCTGTAATTCACAAATGAAATGCAGCTACAGCTATTGTTCATAGTATCAAATTGTGTGTATAGTAGCTGAAGTACTCAGTACTCATCTACTTCAGCTCTGTTACTACAATAAAGCTGCAATGTTTATCAAAAGTATGTACCACATAAACTAGTATCTGTCTTATGATGACGGATAAAATGCTGTTTTGAATTAAGTGGGCCCATAAAAGTCAATAAGCCTTTTTGGTTATATGGCAATTATACATTATTTCAAGCTATGTTTGTCATAACATAAATTTTATATGGCAGCACAGCACCTACCTGAAAAATGTCAACTAATTATAAATGTATTTAAACCCATGTGACAATTAGGAAATCATAAATTTTTATCCTAAAGCTACTTCTGCAGAACTACTGAAAAACACTGAAAAGTTCATCAATCACCCTTTCTATCTCTCCATGATAAGACATAAGAGTTAATACCTTTCCTACCCAAGGGAACTCAACACAGGCAAAACTGAAATTGAAATTGAAAAAAGGAGCGAGGCACAGTGGCTCACACCTATAAATCCCAGCACTTGGGACGTGGCTCACACCTGTAATCCAGCACTTGGGATGCCAAGTTGGGTAGATCACTTGAGGTCAGGAGTTAGAGACCAGTCTGGCCAACATGGTGAAACCCCATCTCTGCTAAAAATACAAAAATTAGCTGGGTGTAGTGGCAGGTGCCTATAATCCCAGCTACTGGGGAGGCTGAGACAGAAGAATTGCTTTAGCCCAGGAGGCAGAGGTTGCAGTGAGCTGAGATCGCGCCACAGCACTCCAGCCTGAGCCGAGACTCTGTCTCAAAAAAAAAAAAAAAAAATCAGAAGTTGGAAAAAAAAAAAAATCAAGCCAGACTCACACATTTCCAAGGCTGGAGTATATGTCTCTCCCTGGAGAGTCATGCATTGCAGGCCCAAGAAAATCTGAGCACTTTTACTGATAACATTCACAAAAAACAGAGAGAAAAGTTCACAGTGGCTGTCAGAGGTCAAATGCTTCCTGGATAACTTCCTACTTGGACTCATTCCTCCTGTACACTTTAATTTGGGCATGTGCTGAAACAAGGAAGATAGCACAGGTCCTTTTGGAGTAACGCACTGTCAGAACTCCAGGACAAGTGGAGTAGGGTAAACAGGCTATTCAACTGGTAGAAATAAAGGAAAGCTATCCAAGAAAGTTAGTCAGAGGGAATAATTTAAGTCTTTAATTTTTAATCAAGTTATCGCTGAAACTATATTTCCCCAAAATGGTTAAGCACAAAAAGCAGACTAATCACAAAAATCTCTAGAGATTCCATTAGATGATTTTCACTAGGTATAATAATGGCATGTGATTAGTAAGAAAACACCCATATATTTAGAGATGGATACCAAACTATATAAGGATAAAAATAAAATGATGTTTGGAATTTGCCAAAAAATACTGCAGCAAAGGAAAAAAAAAAAAAAAAAAAGAGGGTGAGAGAAAGCAAAAGGAGCAAAAATTCCTTAATTTTTAATCAAGGTGACTTACGTGGGGGTTCACTATACTGATTTTGCAGCTAAGTATTTGTTTCAAAATAGCCTTGACATTTTTCATGATAACAAATGCTTGTGCAGGCTACAAAACTAAACACAAACCACAATCCCAAGATATGCATATGTGTGTATGTGAAAGGAAATACTATAAAATATTACTATCAAGTGTCTGTATGGTGGAATTACAGAGATTTGTATTTTTTCCTTTGTAATGTTTAGTATTTTGCAGTTTCTCTAAAATAAACATGTATTACTTTCAAAAGAAAACAAATATATTAAAAACATCAATATCCTAGATTTAAGAAAATGAAGAGGAGATAATGTTAAGAATGTATCTCTTGGACCGGGCAAGGTAGCTCACGCCTGTAATAACAGCACTTTGGGAGGCCGAGGTGGGCAGATCACTTGCGGTCGGGAGCTCGAGACCAGCCTGACCAACATGTGAGCTGAGCACAGCACCTACCTGAAAAATGTTAACTAATTATAAATGTATTTAAATCCATGTGACAATTAGGAAATTAAACCCTGCCTCTACTAAAAATACAAAAATTAGCCAGGCGTGGTGGCAGACATTTGTAATCCCAGTTATTGGGAGGCTGACACAGGAGAACTGCTTAAACCTAGGGTGGAGTTTGCAGTACACCAAGATCACACCACTGTACTCCAGCCTGGGTGACAGAGCGACACTCCATCTCAAAAAAAAAAAAAAAAAAAAAGAATGTATTTCTTCTAAACAATCCATTTATTTTTCTACAATAGTGCTATATGGTAGAGAAGCATCATTATGATTAATAGGAAAATGTCTCATAGGCAAAAACGGCCAAGACTGAATAGTAATTAGCTACTATAAAACTGGTAGATTTGTGTTCAAATAAGCATGCATTTGTTTTAATAAAGAAGAAGAATTTTTATCAAGCAAACAGGTTTTTCCAGTGTATCTTTACCAAAATTACAGATTCTCATCAAAGCTTCTTTTTTTTTTTTTAAGAGATGGGATTTCACCAAGTTGGTCAGGCTGGTCTCAAACTCCTGACCTCAAGTGATTTGCCCGCCTCAGCCTCCCATAGTGCTGGGATTACAGGGGTGAGCCACCGCACCCGGCCTCGTCAGGGCTGCTAATTACTTCTCTTTCAAGATCTCAGCTTTGTAAAATAAAGATTTTCTAGTTGCTCCTCTTCATTTTCTACAACTGGCCAGAAAACTTCAAGAATTAAAGCAAGATCTCTCTTTAACAAGGAGCACAGTGATCACTTACATTCTTCCTTCAGAAATAATTTTCCACTCCAGTTGTAAAAATGTCCGTTATCATCTGAATAATTACCAAATACTTTGCAATTATTGGACAATGGTTTTATTCCCCCATTCTACGGGTGTTGGGGGTAAAAAAATGTCATTGATACAATTACCAGGATCCTCCTACTACCTGAAATACAATGCCATAATTGTCCCAGTGGCTTCTCTTCCCTTTGATAACTTACTGCAGAAACTTCATTTTGTTATGAATTTGCAGACACATGGCAGCTTCTGGCTAAGTGAAAAGGATATAATGTCAACATAAAGTCTCCCTCTCCACCCTTACTGTTTAAGCTACAAATAAATATCTTTCACTTGACACTAAGCCAAAAGGAAGTTTGCACTGTGGTATGCTATACTTGGTTCTAATAGTTCTGGATTTTAGTTTACATGAAAAGTCATAACTGTAGACTAGCTCCACCTAGTCCAACAAAAAGGCCATAAAGAAGACTCAAATTATAGGATATCTTAACTGTGGCTTATGTTCCCCATTACACAAGGTCAAAGCTTTGACTTTCCATTAGAGTTATTACTAAGACTTCACCCCCTTAAAATCCCAAGGAAAAATACAGGCAACTGGGATACTAGAGGGTAAAGAAAGGACTGTGTGGCTTTTGGTTTGGAATGGTAGCCTTTTTGAAACCCAGGGAAGGAGGGAAAGATTTCTGAATCCAAAGTAACGAAGTCATGGTATCATTGAAACTCTTCATTCCCAAGGATACATCTAGGCATCATTCTCTCACATCTTAGTGACAAAGCCCTATTCTAAGTAAAAAGCTAGGATAGCTACTATCAAGCATTTTACATCTGGAAAGCACCTTCTCAAAGAAGATTCAATTATTTTCAAACTGTTTTTAAACCTCTAAATTCTTTTAAATAAAACCTCATGTAAAGATCAAATACACTGAACAGAAAAAAGCAGAACTACTCATGGTGGAGGATAAAGGGGTTGGAGTCCTACCAGTTTAGTATCTGCTCCCCCCTCCCTATAAGAGGCAGCTTCCCTAGCAGTGAAAACCCTGGGGTTCTTTGGAACACCCTTTGAAAATCAGTAAATTTATGAGCCTGGAGAAAGAGAAAGGTATACAGAAGGTTGATAGTGCCAATGATCTTTCTTTTTACAGGAGGCAGGAGGATGCCAAAGAGTGGAAAACAAAATAAAAATAGCCAAGGTGTAGAGCAAATACAGACCATAAGATTGGATGTATAGTATTACCGCACATCTATGAAATCAAATATATATACAATCCAGCCAGGCACAGTGGCTCATGCCTGTAATTCAGAGGCCAAGGTGGGCAGATCACTTGAGGTCAAGAGTTCAAGACCAGCCTGGCCAACATGGTGAAACCCATCTCTACTAAAAATACCAAAAGCTTGGCTGGGCATGGTGGTGTGCACCTGTAATCCCAGCTACTCGGGAAGCTGAGGCAGGAGAATCGCTTAAGCCTGGAAGGCAGAGGTTCCAGTGAATGAGATCACACCACTGCACTCCAGCCCTCCAGCCCAGACAACAGAGCGAAACTGTCTCGGAAACAAAGAAACAAAAAAATATGTATACAATCAAGTACTAGGTAGTAATGTGAGCAAATAAAAAATATAGCTTTGATGAGATTATGGGCAATCTGTCATTTCAATATTATTTTTGCAATAAAATAATGCCTTTTAAAAAGTTAAGAGAAGTATTTGCCCAAGTTCTCATTCACAGTTGAGAAAATGAGGCCCAGATTTGACAAGGATCAGGTACAAACACTCAGGGCAACAGCTACAATATTTAGTCAACATTTTACCTACAGAGGAGAAGCAGATTGTAAAAACCATAGCTTTCAGCTCCACCAAAAGCTACAGTTGAGCTATTCTGCCATTCTCAAAAGCACAAATAAGTATTAGGTTACGGCGACAGATTTTTTTATATGGTTTAGAATGAAAAGCATTGGGGCAATTCAACAAACACTTATTGATCAACTTATAACAATAAAACTGTTCTAAATGTTACGTGACATACAGAGACAACTAATACATGGGCTGCTCTTCAAGAACTTACAATGTATTGAGAAAGACAAAAGTTAAACAACTCTTATGATAAGCAAGAATGAAATAAAAGCATGAACAACTACTTCTAACTTGGGACACTGAAGAAAAGGTCATAGATCAAATACTACGTGTGGTGAACCTTAATGAATGAGTGTAAATTCCTGAAGTGGCAGACTATTGCACTGTACAACTCCAAGAGATGACCTTACAAGGTGACCTAGCTAGGCAGAGAAAGGGCAAAGGCCACATCAAGCCAAGGATAAACATAAGCAAAGGCAGGGAAGGCATGATACCATGTTCAGGGAAAGGTGAACTATTTGGTTAGCTAAAATGCTGGTTGAAAAATATGGGTTAGGGTCAAGTTAGGGCAGGTTTAAAGATTAAGCCAGCTTAAACTTAAGTATTTAAGTTGTGTATTTAACTTCAGGAAAAGAAATCTAGCAGAAGTATGGAAACTGAGGAGGGAAAGACTGGAGGCAAATTAATATTTGAATGAGAGAAGCCTTGAATGGAGCATCAAAAATGAAAAGACAATCTGTCACTTTCTGCTGGGTCACCTGGTTTAATGTAGTACAAATCAAAATAATAGTTACACGATCCAGCTACCTGACAATTTTAGTATATCTCAAATAAACTTCAGAACAAATATGTACATGCCCAGTACCTTCGCTTTCCCAGGCCTGGAGCTGATCTTGATCCCTTGTAGCACTGCCCAACACCTCCCGAGGCACAGGTTCCATTCGTGCATCCACATTCTTTTGCTGAGAGGACTGGTTAAATCCTTCAATTGCCTTTTGGAAAAATAAGTTCAGCTCCTCAAAGTTCATGGCCTGGAGCTCTGCATGAAGTTCTACCTGTTGGGCTTCTTCAAGCTCATTCCAGAAACGTAGTAGGTGTTCTTGCCCAGCTTTGGACAACCTGAGTTTGAGGTCATCAATGTTCATAATGCTCTAATAGCCAAGCTTTGTGAAAACAGGGGTGTAATTTATGTACCTGTAAACCTAAAAGAGAAAAGTAATTAACAGCATGTCAAAATCCAACCTTCAAAATTGAGAGGGTTTTTTTTCCCCTCTAAAAATAAGAATATTTTTAAAACTTGATGTTAAAGAAATTAACTTCTGCTTTTCCATCACTCAATATTTGTAAGGGATCACACCTGTAAGACAATAATATGTACCAGGTACTTCTAAGTACTTTACCTTCACGTCTTGTTTAATTTTCAACAACTCTATGGCATAGGCACTATTATTACCACTTCTTTACAGTTGAGAAGACAGGCAGAGAGGCTAAGCAATCTTACCAATGAGTGGAGCTGGGATATGAATCCAGGCAGCCTGACGACAAGGCTCACACTCTTTACCATGTTTAATTTTCTCTGTATTACTCCTTTGACCACTAAGCTACCACGGAAAGAACACCTGACTGCTTAATATTTCAATGCTCTCCTTGTATCTCTAACGATAGAGATACTATTATGCTTTCTTATAGTCAGTATACTGAAATATTCAGGAAGACAGAACCACCTATAATCAGGAAAAATACATTTCATTTCATTAGCAACTTCTGCAAAGAAGCAATAATAACACATCTATTTTCTCTACTCACTAAAAACTTGGACCCTCCTTAAAGAGACAAGCAATACACACATAATAATCAGTGAATAAGACAAATGTTTTCTAAAGAGCATTCTGTGATAATATAGTAAAATATTAAACTTCATGGTGCTAAAGATTAAGAAAATGAGTAAATATTTAATCTACTCACCCAATATAGACAAATGCTCTGAGAGGAGACAGGTGTTATCTAGAAAGTTCACAAAGAGGCAAAACCTAGCTGTGTGATAAGGGTTGGGCAGACTATATAGATAAGATTAGAGACCATGCGTGGTAGCTCAAAACAACTGTAATCCTGGTACAGGCTAGAATAAGTGAATTGCCTGAGCTCAGGAGTTCAAGACCAGCCTGGGCAACATGGCAAAACCCCACCTCTATCAAAAATACAAAAATTAGCCAGGTGTGGTGACGCACGCAGTGCCAGTTACTTGGGAGGCTGAGGTGGAGGATCACCTGAATTTGAAAGGTTGGGGCTGCAGTGAGGCATAATTACGTCACTGCACTCCAGGCTAGAGACAGAAGATCCTGTCTCAAAAAAATTAAAAGATTAGGAAACAAGCAGAGCCTGGTGGCCATGAGGAGCAAGCATGTGTGGGACGGAAAGCAGTAAGGTGAACATCATGACAAACGATAGAAAATGGCCTAGCGTAGGGCTAGATCATGAAGAGCCTTGAAAACTAAGCAAAAAAATTCAGACTTCACAGAGTCAGTAATAGAAAGCCAACAGTAGATTCTCAAACAGGGCAATGTTACCATGCTTTAAAGAGATGAGAGAAAAGAGCAATGGCATACAATAGATTGTAAGGAGGAACAACCAGAACCAGGAAAATAAGTTAAAAGACAATTGCAGTAAGAAATACCAAAGGTCTCACCAGATTAGTGGCAAAGAAAATAAGAGTGAAAGGAATAAATCTGAGGGTCACTGTAAAGAATCATCACTACATTATAACTGCTTCCATGTGAGGGACAGAGGGAAAAAGTAGGTACCAAAAAAACAGCCCAAATCTTCTCCTCCTGTAAGAACAGTGAAAAGTAATCCACATGGTAGTTCAGAGCACAATTCTAGGCTCAGCTGAGCCACTTAATTTCCCCATGCCTCGGTTACCTTATCTGTCAAATGAGATTAATAATAGTCTCTACTTCACGAGGATCATTAAACATCAAACACCATTTACAAGCTCAGGTCTAGCTTGTGTGTTCCTATATCTGCGTGTTCCCTGACGTGATAATAACAATACGTACTTAGCTTTGAATGTTCATTATGGTATTAAAAGGCATTCCTATTGATTTACATAGGCTTCAAGAGTCATGTTGCTATTATTTTTTTAATTTTTAAAAATCATATTAAAAAAGACACTTGAGCTGGGTGCGTTGGCTCACACCTGTAATCCCAGCACTTGGGGAGGCTGAGGTGGGCAGATCACCTGAGTTCAGGAGATGGCGACCAGCCTGACCAACATGGAGAAAACCCATCTCTACTAAAAATACAAAATTGGCCAGGCATGGTGGCACATGCCTGCAATCCTAGCTACTCCAAAGGCTGTGGCAGGAGAATTGCTTGACCTGGGTGGCAGAGGTTGCAAATCAGGCCCTTGCACTCCAGCCTAGGCAACAAAAGCGAAACTCCATCTCAAAAAAAAAAAAAAAAAAAAGACACTTGAGTGGAACAGATTTACATTAAACTATTTTCCAAGGAATGCTGCTTTTCCCCAAGACCTCATTTATGCTACTGCTTTGCCTCTGATTTAAGGGAGTACATTGTAGTGGCAAGATCAGCAGTGAATCAGATAACCAAAGAATAGGAAGTCCTTGTTCTTGGTTCTTCTTCATCATTTGATTCTACGCAATCATTTTACCTTCCTGTACATGTATTTCCTCATGAATATAAGACAACCAACCTTTCTCACATGCCTTCAAGAGAGTCAAGAGTAAAAAGTGCTCTGTCTGCTAAAAGGCATACACAAACATATTATTATAACATTTTAAGATATAAAACAAACTTTTCCTAAAAGTTCCTCCTAAAAGGTCATTAGATACTCATCCGCCTTCAGACACTTGGGAAAATGAATCCATGCAAATAAGATACCTCATAAACTTTGATAACTGGTCACGTGTTCATTTACATGTTGTATAATGTTCAGAATACAACCACCATACTTGAGTTTTGGACAACCATAATTTATCTGTGATATTAATTTGAGGCAGATATAAGCACCTCCATGCCACAAAAATAGTACCATATTTCCCATTAACGCTGCTTAGAGGCACGTGTGTGTAATGGTAAGCAACGAATAGAAGAATTAAGAGATACAGATTTTTATTTTGACAACCAAAATCTGAAAAAGTTGAAAATCTGCTCTAGAAATTATGACAAAACTCGGTACATGCCCATAGCCTAATGCATCTGCATCAAAATAAATGACAAATTTGGTAATAATCTACCATTATCAAATATTATCAAATATATTTTTATTAGATTTAAATACCAGCATGAAGGAAATCCAGTATTTTTCCCTCGTTTTCTGGCCTCCCCCACTTGGCCCCTGTCTCTGCTGGTATATGTATGCCCTCAAAATTAGTAAGTAAACCTCTTTAAAGCTTTTTAAAAACAGTAGAGTTAAGACATAACCACCAACTGAATCCTATAAATGCCTGGCAGGCGGCACAGCCTATGAAGTCTTTCTTAGTTCCAGCGAAGTGAGCCAACTGACTAAGAGTGAAGGAATAGACAACTGCAAACTCTTGGGTCCACACCCAGTGAATTTCACCTAAAAGTCTTTAAACTTTTGCAACACCAAATGACACACACATATGAGCATAATCACGATTACCTGATTTCAGATTTCATAAACCATGTAGAAATAAGTGTAGCACAGCGTCAGGCCAAACTTCAGGCTGCCATATGTTCAACATATGTGTGCTCAGCCCTCCAATACCATCCTTCTGCTGGGCCAAGAAAGAGGAAACCCAGAAATTTCAATCCTCTCTCATTACCAGTATCAAGACAAATCAACCCAAAAAAAAAAAAAAAGAAAGCAAGAAAGTGGCAAGCTAAGAGGATTTGCCCCACTGTCCTGTCCTCCAAAGGTATCTCCTAGTCCTTGTCAGAGCTCTCAATTCTTTTCCTCATATATTCAAGACACACCAACTCGCTTCCACCTGACAGTTCCAACGACCTCCTGTCCCACTGGAGGCCCGCACACTTGGTATAACCGTCCACGAGGCCCCAGCCTGAGAGCCTCGAGGTCTCTACTGCCCACCCGGGAGAGGCCCCACTCCCAACCCCACACACCTAGACAACCTCCTAGGTCTCCAGACACTGGCCCAGACCTCCTCCCACAACGCCCCCAGTCCATCTGGGGCGCGCTCATCCCATCCCCGGCCCTCCATCCACAACCTCCAGCGGGGTGGCGGAGGATGGGGTGCGACCGCGGGGCGCACGGGCTGGGGTGTGTGTGTGTGTGCGGGCGGACGGGAGGCTCCTCGGCGTGTGCTCCGCTGCCCGCGCTGTGCACGTTCGTGCGACGCGTGTCCACGTCCGCGCGCGTGGCCGTGTGAGCGGCGGGGCCAGGGCCCCCGCTGCCCGGGTCCCGGGCCCGCCGTCCCCTCGCTGGGCTGGGAGCCCCTCACCTTCTTCAGCAGAACGCCAGCTCCGCCCGGCTCCGGCTCCGGCTCCTTCCGCGCGGCCACTCATCTGCGTCCCGCGCCCGCTGCGAATATATACCCTCATCCGGGGGGCCGCGGCGTGGGGGCGGGCCGGGAGCGGGGGCGAAGAGGAACGCCAGCCCCGGCCACCCCGCCCCTCTTGCCACGACGAGTGGCTGCTGGCGCGGGGAGGAGTGGAACCCTACCGCCTAGACACGTCAGCGCCGAGAGCGAAGGCGAACAGGCGGGCGCGGCCTTGGGCGCCGGGGCGGGGCTAGGGGGTAGGGGCCGAGCGTGAAGAGAGGGGCCCGTCGGGGCGGGGCGGGGCCTAATGCGTCACTCATCCTCTGGCCCAATGGGGATGGTCCTGGAGCGCAGTCAGCGGGCGGCCCGGCTTCTCCAGCGCACTAGCTGGTGCGGGCGAGGGGAATGTCAGTTGGGTCCGTTAGGAGGGGCCAGGTCCGGGCCGGCCAAGAGCGCCTAGTGGGTCCCAGGAGCCCTGACGTCCCTAGGTTGTACTGGGAGGTGCGAGTCCAAGGCTCTTAGTGGGCCCAGCGGCACTGAGCACAAGCGGGCCACAGAGATGGGCGGGGAGCTGTGTCCCCAAGGTGACGGATTTCAGAGCCACCCACGCGGGTGGTTGGGAAAGAGCGGCGGATTTTTCTGCGGAGAAACCTTCTGAGCGGGCCTGGCGCGCTCCCTGTCCTTGGGCTAGTTATTTTGTGTGCAGTTCGCAAGATATCTGGCCAGGCCCCAAACTCGCTCTCTGGTGGCGTTTTGGCTCCCAAGAAAGTGAAGCGGGGCCTTTTTACTTTTGCACAAACAGATAGGAAAGGAGAGAGGAAATGCAAGCAAAAGTATTAGTTAACCTAAGCTTGTGTAAGCCTGGACTCATCATTGAGTCTGCAGTCTTAAGGTCACTAGGCCTCAGTACTCTGCAGGAAGATGGTGGAGGGCCTTGATGACCTCCCAGGCCATTCCAGGACCAGTGTTTATACTCCTGTTGCATAACCTAGTGTGGGTGTGCACACACAGATTATTATATGTTCAACCCTGTGCACTTAGAAGCTATGTTTACATTTAAAGTTGTGTTGCATTTTGCAGTTTTTGCAAGAAGTACGATATGTTGAAAAACCAAAAATACCTAGATTTAACATAGCACCTATCATAAAGAGATTCAGGCATTTAGGTGCCTTTCTTCCACTTTCTTGAGTGCAAAGGCCTTTTCATTTCCTTTATCAACTTCATCAAGTAACAGGAAAAACCTAAACTTGGTAAATAATGCTGGTAGATTTACATTCAAGAGATTGAATACTCTCCATCTCTCATGATCCTAGAACTTCATTCATTTCTTTGAAAGAATAGTGTAGTGACTGGTTTCTTAACCACAGGATCAGAAGACAGTCTCACCTTCTTTATTGCTTGTGATCTGTGGCAAGCTACTTGTGTGTCAGTTTTCTCATCTATAAAAAAACACAATAAAATAAAGATGAAAATGCCATTTGGTGGTTGTATTAAACCAGTCGATGTAAAGTATGTAAAACGGAGTAAAAACTAAATAACTTTTAGCTATTATTTATTATTGAGTACTTATAAAAATTCAAACTAGGAGACCCAGATTCAAAATCAGTCTACCCTTACTAACTGTGTGACTTTGGGTAAGTCATTTAACCCCTCCAAACTCCAATGTCCTTTTATGAAATGAGACTAATACCTATTTCACATGGGTGTAGTAAAAAATGAGAAAGAACCTAAGATAATGTCTGGAATATTATAGGCATTCTATAAGTCTTAGATGAATGACTGTGTAAAGAGCAAAATTATTAGTTAGAAATCTTTTAAAGAAAAAAGGTAAAACTGAGGTCCCACTCAAATGTTTTTAATGAACTACTATAAAATCAAATTTGTACTTTTACCTTTTGTTGCTAAAGTTTCATCTGTTTGTTTGTTATTCTGGTTACTAGGCATAAAAGGGGTCATAATCTCATCTCACCAGCTAAATGTCCAGAAATTTCTCACATTAGAGTTATTTCTGTCCTTCAAAATACTTTTTATATGCATTGTCTTTTAAGAGATGATTGAAGAAAACAAGGCAAGGATGCTCTAACTATGATTTTTTTGACATTACACCAAAGGTATCAGCTAATGAAGTTAGACAACAGAAATCATAAGAGGCTTATGAATTAGCAAAAATATATAAGAACTAAAAACTATTTTTTAAGAATTTAAGAAAGTAGTAAAACTACTTTGACTTGCAAATGACAAAAGAGAGTATCTGGAAAACCCTAGAGAGTCAATGATAAGACTAACCATAGAAAAATTTTGGTAAGTGTATTAGTCCATTTTCATGCTGCTATGAAGAGATACCTGAGATGTAATTTACAAAGAAAAGAGGTTTAATTGACTCACAGTTCTGCAGAAGCCTCAGGCAACGTACAATCATGGTGGAAGGCACCTCTTCACAGGGCAGTAGGAGGGAATGAGTGCTGAGCAAAGAGGGAAGCCACTTATAAAACCATCATATGGCTGGGCACAGTGCCTCCCAGCACTTTGAGAGGCCAAGGCAGGAGGATCACCTGAGGTCAGGAGTTCGAGACCAGCCTGGCCAATATGGTGAAAACCTATCTCTACTAAAAATACAAAAATTAGCTGAGTGTGGTGGCACGTGCCTGTAATCCCAGCTGCTTAAGAGGCTGAGGCAAGAGAATTGCTTGAACCTGGGAGGTGGAGGTTGCAGTGAGCCAAGATTGTACCGCTGCACTCCAGCGTGGGCGACAGAGCCAGACTCTGTTTCAAAAAAAAAACCATCAGATCAGCTGAGTGTGTTGGCTTATGCCTGTAATCCCAGCACTTTGGGAAGCTGAGGCAGGTGGGTCATGAGATCAGGAGTTTGAGACAAGCCTGGCCAACATAGTGAAACCCCATCTCTATTAAAGATACAAAAATTAGCTGGGTGTGGTGGCATGTGCCTATAGTCCCAGCTACTCGGGAGGCTGAGGCAGGAGAACCACTTGAACCCAGGAGGCGGAGGTTGCAGTGAGCCGAGACCGTGCCATTGCACTCCAGTCTGGGCAACAGAGTAAGACTCTGTCTAAAAAAAAAAAAAAAAAAAAAAAAAAAAAAAAAAAAAAAAAAAAAAAAAAAAAAAAAAAAAAAAAAAAAAAAAAAAAAAATCAGATATGGTGAGAACTCACTATCAGGAGAACAGCATGGTGGAAAACACCCCCCTGATTCAATTATCTCCACCTGGTCCAGCCCTTGACACATGGAGATTATTAAAATTCAAGGTGAGATTTGGATGGGGAGACAGACAAACCATATCAGTAAGGTAGCAAGTTATAAAATGAACATATAGAAATCAATAGCTCTCATATATGCACATTATAACATTTAGAAGACACGTTGGCGGAGAAAACGCCATTTATAACAGCAACAAAAAAATTAAATATAAATTTAGCACAAAATGTGCAAAACCTGTGTAAGAAGAGTTATAAAACACACCTGAAAGCCACAAAAGATACTTATCAATGGAAAAATTCTGGAGCTATTTCCTGTGTGTTGTGGATGTGAACAAATGACTAAATAAATTTATTTTGGTCATTGTGCCATGGTTATGTAAAAGAATGTTTGTGTTCTTAGGAAAGACATACTAAAATGTTTAGACTAAAAGAATATGATGTCTGCAATTCTTAAATGGTTCAGAAAGATCGGGAGCAATGGCTCAAGCCTGTAACCCCAGCACTTTGGGAGGCCAAGACGAGAGAATCACTTGAGCCTAGGAATTTGACTAGCCTAAGCAACATGGCAAAAACCCATCTCTACAAAAAACACAAAAATTAGCTGGGCATGGTAGTGTGTGCCTGTGGACCCAGCTATTCCCAAGGCTGAGGCAGGAGGATCGCTTTAGTCCTGGAGGTTCTGGCTGCAGTGGGCTGTGATCATGCCACTACACTTCAGCCTGGGTGACAGAGTGAGACCTTGTCTCAAAGAATAAATAAAAGGTTCAGAAAGAAATATATGTGCATACATACATGGGGGTAGGGAAGGAAGAAATTTGGGAGGCAAAGTAAATAAGAATGAAGTAAATGGAGGAAAATGCTAACAATTAGCTACTTTAAAAGGGTGTTTAGAACTTCTTCATACTGTTCTACAAGATTGAAATTATAAAATACAACCAACAGTGGAGTTGTTCATTACCAGTCCAACACAAAAGAAAATCATTAACCCACAGAGCATACAGCTCTGAAGGAAAAGGATCCAGGAAAGATACAACAGTCCACAGAACAGTATACCTGTCCCATGTCGCAAGTCTTCTGGCATCTGGTCAGAATGCCACATCACCTGAGAAGCTGTAAATGCCACCGGCAAGTGCTGTTTATGGTGGCAACTGTGCCTCCTTAGCACGGCAATCATGATAGGGAAATGTTTTTCTGTAATTCTCAGCCTTCTAATTGGATACAGTGGAGGCTTAGATGAAGAGCACAGAAGCCTGTACAGAGCAGGCATTGCCTGGAATACCTCCATGTTTATATATGGATGACTGAGTTGAACTATTCTCTTAAGTGCAAACTGGCACATTTTCAGCATTCAAAAAAGAACAAACTGATGTTTGCTCAAAATATGTTTATTTGGCTGCTCTGTGCTAGACCCTGTGATAGACACCCAGGAAATCAAAAGATTCTGTGTCCTAAAGGGCTTTATAGTGCCATAATAGAAATAGGAGAGATGTTTCTTTTTCAAGGCAGAGAGTCATAAGCGCTACAGTGAATGCACAAATAAAGGATTTCAGAGCTCAGAGGAGGGAAGGAATGAAGGATTGAAGAGGTTTCCCAAAGGACAGGCCAGTAAGTTTGGGAAAGAGGCCAGAGGCAAGGGACAGCCTCACTCCTCACAGGAGGCTGCCCTTTGAAACTCAGCCTTGGGGGATGGAGGCTTTCATGTGGTTTCCCACTTATAGCACCACCATCTTTTCTAAATTTTTTTTTTTTTTTGGAAAAGGGTCTCACTCTGTCACCCAGGCTGGAGTGCGGTGGTGTGATTTCGGCTCACTGCAACCTCTGCCTCCCAGGTTCAAGGGATTCTCCTGCCTCAGCCTCCCAAGTAGCTGGGATTACAGATGCCCGCCACTATGCCCGGCTAATTTTTGTATTTCTAGTGCAGACAGGGTTTCACGATGTTAGGCTGGTCTCGAACTCCTGACCTCAGTTGATCCGCCTGCCTTGGCCTCCCAAAGTGCTGGGACTACAGGCCTGAGCCATCGCGCATGGCCACACCATC